CTTTTTCAACCATACATTGTCCATCAATCTACTATTTTAAAATACATTCTTTCAAAATAATATAGTTCAAACACACCCGCAGTAATGACCAATAAGAAAAGGAAAATTCGAGGTGAGTTATGAGCTTTTTTCCTTTTTAAATGTTCGTTCATCATCCCTCGAAGCACAAATTATGAGAATTACTGTTATTTACACCGAGTTTCTCAACCTATTTAAAATGGAACAACTGAGTCCGCTCACTTCAATGTGTAACAATCAAGTCTTCAACTTTTTGATAGTAGCACAAATAAGTCCTAAAGTGGCAGTTTTTGTCTAATTATACATTAAAATAACACGACTCATGATTATTTTTCATGCATCATCAGTATTACCATTATCAAATAGTCAACTTTATGTTTATTGTGCAAATTAAGTAAATGAATATAATTAATTTCGGCTAATTTTATAAACGTAGGTCAAGGATCAACGTTTTGACTATTTCTGTCATTCAGAGATGTGTTGCCACTCCTATGCGGTGGATTCAACTTCCAAACGAAATATGTCAAAAATTGCATATAGACATAAGATTTAGGGCCATCATTTTGTGAAAATGAAGTTTTGAATGGTAATATTTTTGAAGAATATGTAATTAAAAAATAGGGAAAAATTTTGAGTTTACGCGCAAAATATTTTAGTGTAAATGCGTAATTGAAAGTGAGTATAAGAATTAAAAAAAATTGAAATGATTGTTATAAAACAGGCACATAAATCAAAGTTCCAAACTTTTTCATTTTCGACATTCTCATTCCAAACATTTTAAAGAACAATAATGCTTTATGTACACTATCTCTTACACGGTACACCTTTATTTACATTGTTCCATGTGGCAAGATCTGTACTCTTGATTTTCAATTTATCCATCACATCATCACACAAATTTCTTCCACATAGGAGATGATGTAATTTCTGTTGTCAACAAGGATGTACGAATAAATTAATTCTTAAACGAATCAATCATGCAACATATGGACCTTTCGTCCAATAATCCGTTAGTTAGGTGCGTGAATTGAATTTTTCTATTACTTTTTAAAAGGGCATAATTGACTCTCCACTTATTTTCACTTAAAAATTAAAATGATTTAAAAATAATAATTAATAAAGAAAAAGGCAAAGTCTTCATCTTCCTCACCGACTCCGGCCACCATTTCATTTTACATTGGCAATCAGTTAACACAATACCAAACAATATAGTGCCGCATTTTTTTCAAGCACCTTATTATTTATCTATATCATAACTTTTACTCGGACTTCTACTTTTGCTCACATGTGAATGCAGAAACATTAATTCCAAGCGGAACTTGCTAATGTAAGATATCTGGTCGATACTCTGCTTCCGGGTGCTCTTGTTCTAGTCGAGGAAAGTTCAGTAAGGAATTTGTTTTCCACTTTCTACGAGGAATTCCTCTAAACTTAACTAATTAATCATGCTCTGAACGATCTATATCCAATGAACCAAGTTTTTCACAGAACAAACTCAAACAGAGACACCAGCAACAGGTAATACAAAACAAGAAGAGAAAATACTAAGAACTAACCTTCTTGATTCTAGCTGTAAATTTTTCAGTATATATTTATAAGTGTAATCCTTTAATTGAGCATAGACTGTATAAACTTTGTTGCCGTGTGGTGGAAATCATCAAACATTTGATGATAATAATCTCATTGCAAGTAAAACTTGTTGGAATGTGGAAGCAAAATCTTTCAGAAATTAAAAAAAAAATTTCTTTAATTCAATAAGCAAGATCGCCTAAATGTTCATGTGTATGTTATATCAATAATAAATTATTCGAATCTTTACTTAAATTTGATTATTAATTCTTGGATTAATTTTGAATCACGAATTTCTAGCCTTTTGGATCACGAACTTCCAACTTTTAATTCTAAAATCTTGATATTCCAAACCTCCAAGTCTTCTATGATATTCTCCAAAATCAAGACAAAACTGGTGTGTGGGCTATGGACACCTTCTTTTAATTAAATCAAGAAACTCATTCTTGAACTAGATATGTTAAAATTTGAACGCTATGAAATTTTCGTAATATAACTTCTTGTGTTCAATTCTAAGGGTGTCCAAAAGTTCCGAACCGAATCGAACTGAGCGGTTCTTCATAAGTTAAATACTCGAACGGTACCCGAATCGAGAACCGATGAGTTTGGGTAGGGTCTCGGGTCTAGACCAAGAACCGAAGAACCGAAATTAAATATATTTTTTATTGTTTATATTGAATTAATTAAATTATTTTATTTTTTCTTAATATATTAGCTAATTAATTAAATAAATCAGATTATTTCATAATTTTAATTTTAATGCCCAAATCATTTTTAAAGTTCAAAACTAAATAATTTTTTTATTTTTTATATTGAATTAATTAAATTATTTTATTTTTTTCTAAACAAATTAGCAAATTAATTAAATAAATCAGATTATTTCATAATTTTAATTTTAAAGCCCAAATCATTTTTAAAGTTCATTAGCCCATTTTAATTTACTTGTGACTAGATGATTATTCGAATTTGCTCGTTAAATTTATAGGCTTCAAATGAGATAAAATTTTAGTGGAAGTGGAAGTGGAAGTGTTGGTGCTGAATCTAATGATGGAGTCACTTTGTTTGAGTGTTCAGATGATGATGATGATGATTGAGATGATTGTAATTTTGATTTTGATTACAAGAAAATGAAAACTAGCAAAAGGATTTTTCTGAAAAAGATGAGGTACAACTATATCTAATGGAACCCACCAAAGATGTTACCGATGGAGATTTAACATTTTACATTGGTGGAAGATTAATAAATCAATATTTGAATTTTTATCCGAGGTTGCAAGGGATGTTCTTGTCATTCATGTATCTACAGTTGCTTCTGAATCAGCATTTAGTACTGGGGGGCTCATTCTTGATCTATTTAGGAGTTTTTTAACTCCTAAAACAGTTGAAACCTTAATTTGTACACAAAACTGGCTAAGGAAAGATTCTAGACTCTTGAAAGTTTCCTAAGATGGAATTTGCATTGAAAAAACAGAGTTCTATGAGGGCATTGAGAAATGTAATAAATATATATTATATTTTTTTTATTAAATCTTAGAATAATTTTTAGTTTTTTTGTGTTTGTTAATTGTGTCTTTTCAATTATGTTTGTAGAGTTTCTTACCATGACAAGTCAAACAATTGATGATTAAATCAAATAGTTGGTAAGTACTACCAATACTTAAAAATATTTTATTTTTATAACTTTTAATTTATATTTCATTTTCTTTATGCAGGCAGGTTGTTTGAAGCAAATGAATATACTTTATGTAGTGTTGCTGTAATATTAATATCTACTTTTTGATATTTGTATGCATTGAATTAATCTTATTGGACGGCTAGTTATTTATATATTTTTGAATTGGGTTACGTTAATTTGTAAAAGTTACGAATGAATGTCATTAGTTGTATTTCTGTAGTGTTGTTGTAAATATTAAAAAAATTAATTATGGTACGGAACCGAACAAACCCGAACCGAACCGAACGGAACCGAACCCGAACGGTTCCATAATTATATTTGGACCCGACGGTTCTATTTATTAAATACCCAAAAGTCTTCAGAATCGAACCGAATCGACTCACAAACAGCCCTATTCAATTCTATAGGATATCTAGGTTCCATCTAGACTCTAAGGATAAAATAGTTCGGATCCATACACAATATGAATTTTACATTCAAATAGAAGTCTTAATTAAAATTTAAGTAGGAGTTTTAATCAAAGTTCACATCAAATGGTTTACATTTAATTACATGCGTAGTCATTGAACTTCAATTATAATTACAATTAAGTTTATAACTTTATAGCAATTACAATTAAGTCCAAAACTTTTATAATAATAGCAATTAAGTTTTAATACTTTATAGAGCTACCATAGCGATTTGATCGGGCATATATTATCCAAACTCCAATAACTAGATCATGTCTAGTCGACTCTAGATCATCTAATCTGATTATTAAGATTTTTTTTTCAATAAAGTGAAAATATTGCACTTTTGAAAAATATGAGATTACAAAAGTCAATGAATCTCTAATTTTTTTTTTTTGACCTGGTGTATATGTATTTTATCTCCGTTCGAGATTCGATAATTATGTATAAGCAAAAATTATCATTTTGCTCTTCTAATTATTCTCACTAACTTAAATACAATTTTCTTCAACGGTCCTGTGTCGAATGTTAGCCGACGTTAAACACTTAACACAAATTTTAACAAAAAATACTTAAATAGTCACTTAACCCCTTTTTTAGGGCAACGATTTCCGACATGAATTCATGTTCTCTACTTCACTCATTCTCAAGCTCTCAACTCATCAAGATATTTGACCAATCAAATTGATCCACCCATTGGTGATTCAAAAACTATTAAGAACACCATCAAAAGATTTAGATGAAATACCTGACGACTAAGTAGAATTTAATTTTCTGCATGGTTATGTTATAAAGTTAAACTCGACAGGTGGTCCGTTTAATACGCTCCAAGTGTACTAGTGTTACCTTTAACTATTTATTTCATATTGACAAATTACAACCCGAATAGTGAATCGGTCAACACTATAACCTTTTTAGTACAAGGTGTTAACACTTATACACAGGCTGTGAAAAAATTGTTTATGGTCAAAATATAAATTATGTTATGCTGTACTTCTTAATGCAAATATCCAAATTATATTATCACAAGTGATCGTAGAAACTTTAATTCACATGTTCAATAATAAGTAAATGTAAGAAATAAATAAAACGCGATTTATTTACAGTAAATTATTCTTTATCACAACAAAATATACTATCACCCAAACCAATAAAACTATCTACAAAAGCAGATATATAATACTTCTATTTAAATCTCAAGAACTAGAAGAAAATAAGCCTCAGTCCCCCAATAAATTTGGATCGTGAATCTTTTATCGCAAACACCTAATCTTCTCTTCATTGATAGACTATAATTTGGTCTTATAGTGGCATTGCAGTTTAGTAATATTCCTGCTGGAAATACTTACTTCCAAATCACAACTAAAGTAGGAGACCACATGAATATTGAACAACATGCGCACTTTTCCAGCAATTCTCGCGTATGTTTGGAGAGGCAACGTACCAGACATGATGTCGGAATACAAATTGGAGTTGGACAACACCCGATCCAACATAAGTGTCAGCGTCACGTTCATGATCTTCGAGTCTCGGGCGCCAATTTTCCCGGCCGGAACGGGGACCTCACCCACCACGTCGCCTCTGTATTTTAATAAAGCAGTGCTGTTTATGTACTCGAAACCAACTCTGTTAGGGTTCTTCACGGCGACGCTGGTATCGACGGTAACATTCAAGAAGACCCGGAGCCTGGCCATGTCAAAGGAGAAATGTAGATCCGAAAGAACAGCGGAATTGACGGTGATCACGGGACGCTTGGCCTTGAAAACTGTGAGCCCTAGAATAGTGAAAATTAGTGCTAAAGCTAAAATCACAGATATAACCACCAAACATATGATTTTTCTTCTGCGTTTTTTGTTGGGGTTGCGATCGTGCTGAGCCATCATCATCATCGTCTTGTTCTCCTCCTGCTTCAATGATTCTACCTCCATTAACACTCTCCTTCCTCTTCTGCTGCTATACAAATCGCGTGGAACAATATTGTAGCTTAAATGCAACACAGTAGCACAAGAAGATTGGCAGATTGCAGTTTTAAAAAAAATGAGGATCCCACCATAGAAACACTAGGCGATGAGCAGCATTCTATAAGCTATTAATAACCCATAAAAATTCTGCTAAAGAATCGTACAAGCAAAACTAGTAAATATCTGGAATTCAACAGTTTGGCCGAAATTGAATTGTTCACAGGATTCTAGGGGCCAGGTAGGTGATTAACATACTGCTCCCATTAATATATTTTTCATAAAACTTAGGGATGACAGGATTTTGAAAATTAGGTGTTAATTCGATAGAGATTTATAGCGCTGCAAGTTCGGTATGAACAGAGACTTTTAGGAAGTTAGATGAGCAGCAGGTAGTAGTTGTACATTAATTACTTGTACTTTGAAGTGGGGACAAATTCAGTTAAGGTTTTCAAATAAGGATAAATTAGATTTATAGGACAGGTTCTATTTAGATTTTTAGCATAAATTAGAACGTTATACATTAGGGCTGTAAGCAAAAATCGTTAAACCGGATAATCGAACCGAAACCGCAATTTCGAAACCGACGGTTTGGTGCCACGTGGACCCGACAACGAAATGGTTTTGAACCAAACCAAACCGGTCAAAAAGGGTTTGGTTTAGGTTTGAGAATTTTAATTATGGTTTGAAACCAAACAGGACCGACGAAAAATATATAAACTAAAAAAATAAAAAATTGATTTTTTTTGAAAATTTATCCAAAATTTCAATTTTGTAAAATTGAATAATTTTGTTATTTTGTAGGTATTTTTGTTAATTTCTAATTTTCTATTAATTATTAAGATTAATGACCCGTCCAAGCCTAATTATATATAAAAAAGGTCCAAATTTGAAAGAAGTAGCACTAAACATCTCAACCAAGTCCATATACTCACAAGTCACAACTCTAATCTTCCAATTTTCATTTCTCTCACTCGCAACTCGCTAGTCGCAGCCTCACTCCCCGCAGCGCCTCCTAGTTTCCCCCAAATCGTTAACGCCCTCGAAATCTCGAACCTCCCAGTCGCCGGTAGTGTACGTTCGTCGGTATTATTAGACTATTTCAAGTTCTTGCATATTTATTTGATCGTGAGTAAGGCTTAAAATTGAAATTTTATCACTTTCTAGTTCAAATTTGTTTACATATTTATTGATCGTGAGTAAGGCTTAAAATTGAAATTTGGACTATCAGGTGCGCAAAAGACATTTGTTTACATATGAGAGAATATATATAATTCCGTGTTAAATTGTAGAAGATGAAGGTGGGTATATATAATAGTATGGGGGAGAAAAAATATTTGTAACTTGTCTTTTGGAAGTCATTATTAGATGGATCCGTGTCTTAATTTTTTTTTTCCAATTTGCTAATTAAATTTTTTTTTTTATGAAGGACAAAATTGATCATGAGCCCTGTGGCTTCTTGAGTATGTGAATGTTTCTTCCTTTTGCTAGTTCTGTGAGTTCTATGACAAAATTTGATATTTCTTGAATTTTGTGACAAAATTAATTCGTTTATTCCTTTTGCTAGTTGAAAAGGGACATTATTATTTTTTTGACCTTATATTTATTTTAGTAAACTTGTATTGTATTTTTATCGTAAAGTATTATTCTAAAACGTCAAAAGGGCGAATAAAAAACTATACTTTAGTTTTTTGTGATTTTACTTTTATTTTGTTGATATTTAAATTTATAGTAAATATATTTAGTTTGTTTTAGATCTATTTCTAGTAAGATATAAATATATATTGAATTAATGGTATAAAAGTAGGTGCTAGATAGGAAAAAAAATATACGCAAAACCGGCAGTTTAAAATAGGACCAAACCGTTAGGTTTAGGTTTGAGTTTTTTTTCAAACCGGTCAAAACGGTTTGGTTTAGGTTTGAGCTTTTCTCAAACCGATCAAAACGGTTTGGTTTGAAAATTTGTCAAAAATCGTAAAAATCGGACCGCTTACACCCCTATTATACATAGTAAGTAAGTCCCACTCAATAAAACGGCCATCTTTTTTGAATAGAAAATCCTAAAAATGCATTATTTGGCGAGGATTGAAAAAACAAACAAAGGGACACCGATTTTTTCATCAGTCCACTTTAACTAGTTGGTAATTTTTGAGTCCAAGATTGCTGTTATTTGAACCCGCATGACTGTATAACGGTTTAATTTCTAATTAAAATATTAGGTTTCAATCTTTATTTTTTCCTATTTAATTTTGTCCCTTTTGTTGGTCGATTTTGTAAAAAAAATTGACATGATATTCAACTTGTATAACTTTTTGAGTAATTAATGATATAATAAATTAAAAAGGAAAAACAACCTCCCCCCCCCCCCCCCCCCCCAACATCGTAGCTACACTACACTACATTGAGGTGCTTTTAGGTCAAGTGCCCAATTGATAATTAGTTATTGCATTGTATGAATTACATGTCATATTTTAATATAAATACACAATATTCATGTTATTGGCCAATGGCTGCATATCACTGGTCGAACGAGCAATAGAGACAACAACTACTATTGCCCGACCTTCCAGGTTGCTAGGCCAAGATATGGGTGAAAAATTTGCCCTCGACCGAATGAAATTTTAAAGAAATCATCATCACAACACATTTACCACAGAACATATATCTGTTTCTCGACCCCGGCTGCCTTTACAGTAATCAACACGCCCACACGGGCTTCTCATCTTCACAGTCCTATCCCTACACCATAAAACACATGCGGATCAGAAAGTTTGACTCTCAAGTATTACCATATGTAAACGCGAAACAGATCTTGAGCTAAATACCTAAAAAAACTACAACAACGAAGCTCATCTGAAGAACCCTTTCACAAAATGGCATAAACTCACACAAAAAATGAACAAATCTTTACTTAAACAATGAGCTTGCCTTAAATAATTTTGGAAAGTGTGAAATATTTTCCTTTAATTAATTCCAGAATTTCCTGCATTGCCACCAACATTTCATACGTTTGCTACTACAAAAATAAATAAATAATAAAATAATAATAATAATTAGAGGAAAATGTCATTTCCAAAGTGTATTGGAAATCATCATGGTCTTTTTTGCTTATATTGATGGTTGAAACTTTGATTTAACTTTAAACATAATTTTAGTTATGTTAATTTTGATGACAATCAAATTTGGAAAAAAAACATCGTATTTAAAATCTTTTACCTAATATTTAATTAATTTCTATACCATGTAATTTTTAAAATCGTGTTTTCACTCATGAATGTAATATGTGGTAGCATGCGCGCGCCCACACACATATAATTGACCCTTACAGGTTGATCATACCTTGAAATGAAATTTTTACGAAATTGTTTCTACTGTTAATACAAAATGAGATTATGTGCTTTCACTTGTTTAAGATTTATTTATATGTGTCTTAAGACAATCTTTGCTATAATATTGATTTTAAAAAGATTTTAATTTCGCATATTACACATATTCACCCCCCCTCTAGGTGTTGTTAGGGTCTCACTTGCGTTTTTCACATCTAACTCATAAAATTCGCAATCAAATGGAAATCCACATAATAGAATTATTCTAACATTTTATACTTAATTATTTTAGGGATTTTGAGTTAAATCCTAGTTGTGCAGTAAAAGCCATGAGGGTAATAAAATTTACAATCTTAATCTCTCATATTTAATTATAAATATTTGAAAATACTACTTTTAGTTATGAGGAAAATGATGTTTGCACAGAAAATGTTTTTACAGAAAAATTACAGACACTCACATGGGGGTGGGTCCCATTTGAATTAAATATTGTTCAAAAAAAATGGGTCCCACCCATTGTGTGTGATCTGTAGGTTGTCTGTATATATTTTTTCTGTACTCTAAACATCTCTTTAGTTATGATGATAAGTTTATAATAACGTGGATTGACAGGTCATGAAGGTTGTGAAAATAATAAACATTAATATTTGTTGTGCTAAAATTTTAGTCCCGTGTGAGTTTGACTTTATTTAATGCTAATTGTTCAGGTTGGGGTTCACATCGTATATAGTTGGTATTTATATAATTTTATGTTAAAGATATTGGGGAACTTGACTCTTTAACAACTAAGAGATCATTTCACTTGCAACAAATTGAATATTAGCTAAGGAATCAAGTAAGTAAACCTCATCTCGTTTTCATGCGTACGTCATATTGTTAAATGTGTAAATGTTTTATTATAATTATTCTTATGTCAACATGATATTTGATTTTTATGTTTTATATCATAAATGTTTCATACATATTTATACATATCAATGCATCCATAAGCATATTTTAAAAAATGAAGTCATTGATGGTTATTATGTTGAGGAAAAATTCAATATTTCTCCGTATTTATGATATTAAGAGAAAAATGAAATGATAATATTTCCAAATCTAAGTATCTAGATTTAGTTTTGGGGGTGTTACATATTTACCACATTAGACATAAGTTGAAGAGCTTTGAATAATTTTTTTTTTTTTTTTAATTTACAGACCTGTATGAGAAATTTTGATTTATAGAGTCGGTCTTGGAGTGTTACGTGTCATTGATACGACATTGATTTTGACCCATATAAGCAACTTGTGTGTATTCATATTGACTTCACAAGAAATAAGGATTTTGTTATTCGTCCAAGATTTTGAGGAGTGCTTAGATTCGAGCTTATGTTTGGTTCAGTTAAAAAAATTAATTAAAATTTGTGTTAAAGTTAATAATAAAATTTTAATTACACATTTTATGGGATATATAATTTTTTTATTGTACATTTCATCAATTTTTATCAAAATATATTAAAAATATAATTTTTGACCACAACTTCAAATCTAATAATTAAATGATGATTTTTAGAAATATTTTTTATAGGCTCTTTATTAGTTTCTCTCTCTCTCTCCCTTTTTTTTTAAAAGAATAATCCATACGTCCATAATAGAGATCATCCA